TATGCTCATGAATCTCCCCTGGTTTATGAGCCATGGGCAAGAAGTAGGTACATTGCCAGAAATTACTGATTATATTTTGTGGCCATTTCAAGAATCCTAAATTTTAGAATTAAATCAAACTGTGTTACTAATGTTATATCAAGTAAAATGAGCTTACATTTTCTGTTTCCCCAGTAAACTACAATATATGCATTTTTTTTATCAGACTATTGGTTGATTTGGGGCCTTCATTTCTAGTACTCTGCAGTAATGTCATTTATTTCAGAACTGTCCCAGGGGACTGGATGGTTAAGGAGACTGGACTATGGGTCTTTTCATTTCTAAGGCCCTGATCTTACAATGAGATCCATGTGAGTGGATTCCTGTGCTCATAGAATCATAGAATATCAGAGTTGGAAGGGACCTCAAGAGGTCATCTAGTCCAACCCCCTGCTCAAAGCAGGACCAATTCCCAGCTAAATCATCCCAGCCAGGGCTTTGTCAAGCCGGGCCTCACCCACTGAAGTCATTGAAGTGGATTTCACTGCAGGTTGGGGACCATAGTTATTAATCTGAATCCATTCCCAATTGTTCTGGACTTGTTACCTTAAAATGCCTGATCTGTGTAAAATGAGTTTATAGTTTTAGTACAATTTCTAATGTACTAAACCATTGGCAGATTTACTGGAAGTCTCAGTCGAAAGGCCAAGAATTGATTTGATTTAGAGTGCACTGCCATCAGACCTTGAAAGATAGACAAATATATTATACATACAAGAAGATATAAATCCATTATTATTGAAAGATGACTTTGTTGAGAAAAAAGTTGCAGTCAAATATTCCTTCTGCTCACAGCAGCCTAGAAAGGGCAGAAACTTTATATACAAGAATTGTCTTTTCTCTCCTAGTCACCTTCTGATCACCCCAGTCATTTTTAAAGGATCTCATTGTGACAGGTTGCCCCCCTTTAAGGTGCCACCTGATGTATTGGGATACCACTGAGCCCGCCTGTTCCACCAGCCTGGGCCCCCTTCTAGGGCACACACCCCTGTGCTCCCTAGAATGGAATCTGTCCCCTGTCAGCTGTGGGCTCACAACTAACAGCCAGAACAGACCCTTCACTGGAAGCTTTGTACCCTCCTCTTTCCTCGAATTGGGTTTGCCTCCAGTTAGAGTCCATGGAATCTGCACCCACCGCAGCGGTCTCTAGGATTCCAACACTTTTTTTCTTTGGGCTTTCTGCTAGGACACATTTTCCTATGCATTTTAGAGTGAGTTCTGTTCCTTGCTTAACTGCCACTCCCTGGCAGCCAGCAACCTGGACAGACTCTTTATCGTCAGGCAAAACACTCCCATCCCCTGAGGGGATAGCCACCAGACAGGAACTGGTTTTACCCACCCCCATTCCTTTGTAGCAAACTGCTTTGCAGGGCTGCAGAGGAATTAGAGAAACTCTCCCATTTCCTCAGCAGTTTCTGTAGCTTGGTTCTTTCCGTCTGGGGCTTCAGCACAAGATTCTTTCTTGCTGCTGACAGAGCTCTGGACAGCCTGAGCCACATTAAAAAAATCGTTACCCAAAAGAATTAGTGTAAGATTATGAGGAACCACGGCAACAGTTACTTCAGCTTGCAGATCCCCAGTTTCCATGTGCACGTTAGCCAAAGGCACAAGGATTTTGTGATCTCCTACTAACAAAAGCTCTGCCAGCTGTCCTGGCAGTATGTCTTTCTGTTGAACCAGGTCTCTCCTGACCACAGAAATTTCTGCACCAGTATCTCTCCATTCAGGGAATTCTGTGCCATTTACTCTAAAGGCTGTCAGGTGCTTACTGCCTGGCTGTGCAGTGTCAATCTTTAAAAACCCTGTATGATAAGTGGCAATTGCCTGGGGTGCCTCTGTGCTCTGGAAAAACAACGAGGAGTCCAGTGGCACCTTAAAGACTAACAGATTTATTTGGGCATAAGCTTTCGTGGGTAAAAACCCCACTTCTTCAGATGCATGGAGTGAAAATTACAGATACAGGCATAAATATATATTGGCACATGGAGAGAGGGGAGTTACCTTACAAGTGGAGAACCAATGTTGAAGGCCAATTTAGTCAGGGTTGGATGTAGTCCACTCCCAATAACTGAGGAAGAGATTGCCTTCTCTGTCCTCATATCTACTCTAGCGACACCATCATAGGACCCAGCCACACCATCAGAGGCTCCTTCACTTGCACATCTACTAGTGTGATATATGCCATCATGTGCCAGCAATGCCCCTCTGCCATGTACATTGGCTAAACCGGACAGTCTCTACATAAAAGGATAAATGGATACAAATCAGACATCAGGAATGGTAACATACAAAAGCCAGTAGGAGAACACTTCAATACAGTTATTGAGTGTTCAATCTGTACACTCAATAACAGATTTAAAAGGAGCCATACTTCCAAAAAACAAACAAAAAAACCCTTCAAAAACAGACTTCAAAGAGAAACTGCTGAGCTACTATTCATTTACATACTTAACATCATCAATTTGGGCTTGAATAGGGACTGGGAGTGGCTGGCTCACTACAAAAGCAATTTTCCCTCTTTTGGTATTGACACCTCCTCATCAATTATTGGGAGTGGACTACATCCACCCTGACTGAATTGGCCCTGTCAATACTGGTTCTCCACTTGTAAGGTAACTCCCTTCTCTTCATGTGCCAATATATATTTATGCCTGTATCTGTAATTTTCACTCCATGCATTTGAAGAAGTGGGTTTTTTACCCACGAAAGCCTATGCCCAAATAAATCTGTTAGTCTTTAAGGTGCCACTGGACTCCTCGTTGTTTTTCCAAAGCACAGAGGCACCTCAGGCAATTGCCAATTATCCTTTTTATCCCATAAACACAGTTTTACATCATCATTAGACATAGTCAGGAACTGTTCCTGAGCAACCAAATCACACACTGCTTCAAAGCTTATAATACTTTTTTCCGTTAACCACTTATCCAGTACATCTCTCATTTGGTTCACATAAACCACATTACTTAATCCAGCCCCTCCCTTAAGGCATCTAAATTTTACTCTGTAAATTTCAGGTGTAATCTGAAACTGTTTCAAAACTAATTCCTTAAATTTACCATAGCTTGAAGCATCACTAATTGGCACCTTATTGAATATGTCCAGAGCCCTCCCAGTCAATTTTGCAACCAAAGTCATCATCCTTTGATCCTCAGGAATTGAGGATATCAGGGTTGGAAGGGACCTCAGGAGGTCATCTAGTCCAACCCCCTGCTCAAAGCAGGACAAATCCCCAGACAGATATTTGCCCTGATTGCTAAATGGCCCCCTCAAGGATTGAACTCACAACCCTGGGTTTAGGAGGCCAATGCTTAAACCACTGAGCTATCCGTTCCCCCTTTGTCTGTTCGCTAGCCAGCGCACTTCAAACTTACTTAAAATCACCACCAGTGTCTCATAGCAATAAACTGCGCATATAATCCTGCTTGACTACGCCTCAGTGATAGGTTTTCCCCCCTTTAAGGTGCCACCTGATGTACTGAGATACCACTGAGCCTGCCTGTTCTGCCAGCCTGGGCCCCCTTTACCCTGTCTTGCTGAGCCGGGCTCTTAAGCCTCCACTAGCACATGCACAGGCAGGGCCAGGACCGGCTCCAGGCACCAGCTGAGCAAGCTGGTGCTTGGGGCGGCAGATTGTTGGAGGCGGCATTCTACCCAATCCTAGGGCGGCACGGCCGCTTTTTGTTTGTTTGTTTGTTTGTTTGTTTGTTCTTGTTCCGCTCCGGCCGCCCTGTAGGGGGCAGCGGCGCGGAGAACCAGAACGCCCTGCAGGGCAGTCCTCTTCCTTCCCTCCCCGCCGACCAGAGCGGAGCCCTCGCGGCAGGAGTCGGCGCAGCGGGAGGGGCCGCGTGGCAGCGCCCCTGCTGTAGCCCTGTCCGCCGCCTTCCTGCCCGCTCCCTCTCCCTCCCCCCCTCCCCTGCACCTGCGCTGCAGGTTTTTTTTTTTGCTTTGCTATTCTGGCCGCCCCGTTTTTGTTTTTTTTTGCTTGGGGCGGCCAAAAAGCCAGAACCGGACCTGGACAGGGCCACACCCAGCTGCAGAAAGATACAGACACTGAGATCAGCTCTGGGAAGGCTCAGTTTAAGGGACTTGCCCCAGCACTCAAGTGCCCACCTCCCTTGGAGTGCAGACCCAAAGTTTTTGTTTTCTTGCGCTGTATAGAAAAATCTGCAGGATTACCTAAGGCAGGAATCCTTCGTTTGATCCCCACCCCCCTACAGAGGAAAAAGTACCAGCAGTGTCTAAGGTGGTATGTTGTATCAAGTGATCTTATCACCTGACCTGGTAGTGTCACAGCTACATCTCTTAGGAAGAAGAGAGATTAGTAGCCTGCCACAGTCTTTTTGTTTCTTCCTAATGGGTCATTGAGGGTGATTGCCTACTGTCTGGTGGGTGTTCCCCCCAAGTACACACACAATTGTAATTGTTACATAGTCAATATTCCTAAGTCTAGATACAGAAATGATACATGCATACAAGTTGGATAATCACATTCAGTAAATCATAACCTTTCCAATGATACCTTAAATGAGCTATCTTGTAAAAAGTATATCTTAGTTATGCCATATTCATATCATACACCCCATATTCTTCATAGAAATATGGTTAACCTCACACTCATCATCACAGCTGCCTAAAGGGATACATGACCAGAGATCATGACTTTTTCTTCCAAAGATGGTGGTGACTCCTGTGCTGTGTAGTTTACAGCAAGGCAGATCTGATCCAGCTAGTGACAGGGAAAACAGAAGTCCTAAGCACATTCTGAAATCAAGGCTTCCTGCACCACTGGACCAACCCAGCCCTATCCTCCCACTCCAATGTTAAAATGCTTATCCTAGAAAATTAATTAAGACTCTAAGTCTGTGCTGTGTAGCATAATCAGCTGATAAGTGAAATGAAACTACAGACCCCTTCAAAAGCCAGGAATTTAATACATGTCCTTTTTTATTTTTGATTCAAAGGATGCTGTGACAATATGTACCCTGGGAATAGGAACCGCTTTTGGAGAGTCAATTCTGGATAACACCCCTCGCCATGCTACTATTGTTACCAGGGAATACAGTGAGCTACTTCGAATTGAGCAGAAGGATTTCAAAGCACTTTGGGAGGTAAAGCCAAAAGACTTATTGAACAATTAATATAGTTACAGAAAAGTGAAATGTATGTATATAATGACATCATGATTGTGTCTTAATGTGTTCAGTTTTAGCAGAGGAATATAATTTTGTAAACATTTTTTTGGAGAATGAGTTAAATCCACTTGTCCCTTTTTGATACTTCATCTTCTGCAAGATTACATATCCTTATTAATATTTCTTCAAAGACCATCCTGTTTTTTTGTCTTGACAACTTTGCTTAATAAGTTACTCCACAAATGCATTAGTCAGAATTTACTTTAACTGCTGTTTACTTCTCTCCTTAACTTATTTCATAAAATGAAACTAACTCAGATTAACATATTCATTTGAGCCCTCCATTTGCTGGTTTGTCAGATTTATATTTACATTTGACACCAGCTAGTCGAATGACATAGAGCCAGGCCCCGGCTCTGCAGCTACACTGCCCCAGGAGCTCTCAGCCCCGCCGCCCACAGCATTGCGCCGGAGGCGAGGCGAGCTGAGGCTGCGGGGGAGGGGGAACAGCAGGAGAGGGGCCAGAGAGTAGCCTCCTGGGGCTGGCACTCAGGGGTTGGGCAGGAGGGTCCCGCGGGCCGTAGTTTGCCCACCTTTGTACTATAGAATGGGCAGGGCATCAGAGTGCCAAGGTACTGTTGAAACATGTCTGCCGCTGAACACACTGATAGTGGCAGACTTTGCTTCATTGGTTGTGCTTCTGTAACTTACAGCAGAATTTGGCCCAACGTCTTTAGCTCAAATAGAGCTGTAGGAAAATACTTGAGCAAATATGTGAAGAATGCTGTTCCTGCAATACTCTATGCTGTTCCTGCTCCATCTCACTACAGATTTTACAGTGTTTAAGTGCCTTGCTTAACTACCGCATGCTTTGACCGTCTTGTAACTTGGTTTAGTGTTACGTTTACAGATGGCAAAATTTGTAATGCAGATGGAGTCTTGGATGTTAGTGATGGAAGAAAACAAACCTGGGCTCAGGTTTTGTCAGTTAAAATGTTTTTAGTTCACCTTTCCCTAGATGTAGGACAAGAGGTGTCATCTGTGGTATCCAAGGGATTTCCTTTCTAAAAACCAAGTAATTGGATCTCATCTTTGATAAATGGAAAAAAAACCCAAACCTTTAGCATATGTTTGCTTTTTTCGATTCTGAACGTGGCATGCTTTTAAAAATATTTTCCTCTGTCAGAAACACCTTAAAGATGTTCTAACGAGAATTACAAAGCACTTTGAAAATGTTTTTCCTTTGACTACTCTTACTTAAATGGTTGATACAATGCTGTTTATTTTTACAGAGCAACTTTTATTTTTTATAATGTTTAAATTATAACAACCCAATACAAAAATGGTAGCTGCCATCAAGAGAGAGCTGTCTTGGGAGCGTTTAGCAGTCACTTTTCAGTGTATTTCTGACCTGTCAAAATTTTATACAAAGAATATTGGACATGCTGCAGGTGTCACTCATAGACTGTAGGTCGACTGGGATGTGCTTTCTGTGCACTTTGCAATCAAATTCTTTCTGAATCTTTGTGAAGTCTCTCTTGTGGGCAATATTCCTGAACATCCTGTTCAACAAGAATGCTGAAGAAGTTAGCACTAGTTGGTAGTTTAGGATGTATTAGCAGGACTTGAAAGGGGTATTTGGGTTTTGCAAGGCTGCTTTTGTCTCTATGCAGTACATTAATTCCAAAGCCACAACATATGTGGCAGCTAAAAAATAAAAATATTCTTTACAAAGAAGATAGATATTCAAAATATATGTGACTTCTTTATGAAAATCTCTGAAAATATTAGTAATATTATAATGATATTTTCATTGTACCATAAGTGCACATCTTTCCTTTTACAGTAACTTTTTCATGAGTTGTGGGATTGGTGTTGTTCAGGGCTTGTTCTAAGATCAGGTCACCTTTGTTTAGCCACAGCAGATTTTGGCAAACTTGTTCTGACCATGCCGTTCCATAACTTCTATATTTGCATTTATTAAAATGCTCTACATAACTAAGAATGGTCTACAGATTCGTTTTCAGTGGTGTCCTGGGAAAGACAAAAGAGGGCACCACGTCAGCATCATTACAGCAAATATCTTCAGGAAATTAATATTAAAATCCACTGCATACCATTTTCAGCCCTCTGTATAACTAGAGCTGAACTGCAGGGGTGGGATGGGAGAAACTGTTTAATTTCCTTAACAAATTCAGGAAGAATTTTAAAGTAAGGCTATCTTTATAAAGTCACACCGTGGTGCCAATTTTGAATCAGTGCTATTTTTGTACAATTTTCTCTGTATATTTGTTTAAATCAAATTGTAAATTGGCTCTATGCCTGTATAAAGTTATACCACTGTAAAAAACAATATTATTGATCTTCTATATTGCTTCATATCCCAGGACACACACAACCTGATAACATAGTTAATGTGTATTTGGCTTAATACAGAACCTGTGACTCTTATTTTAATTAGTGTAGGACTTCATTGAGAATACTTGACCTGAAAAGTAATAGATTTACTTCTATACAGATTTTTGGGGGGTGTGTGTCTTTTTTTCCTCCCTGAATTTTATAGACTTTGTATATATGGAAATACAGTAGTTCTACCAGATATGTGTAGGAGGGAAGGCAGCTTGTGTTTCTTGGGAAAGAATATTTGAAAAAAAAAAAGGATATTCTTTCTGCCCTTTGAATACGGACAGGATCTTCTATGACCTCCATTTTTAATACTCAGGGAATAAGCCAGTCAAAACAGATGATATCATCCTGATAAGAGCAATTACCAGTGAAAATGGTCTAGTCTTTTCTCTAATGACTATGTCTGTTTAAGCAGCACCCTGTTCATGAACATCTGCTCAGCCTCAGAGTGTGCTCCTCAGAGACGTCTAGTTTTACACCAACAGCTGCTGCAGCACATTGGAGAAGATGAAATCTCTGGCTAAGTTCTTACAGTGAGCTGAACATTATTGCTTGACAAAGAAGCTCTAGGAGGAGTCCAGAATCTCCAGTGTCATGCTTTTGTGCACTGGCTTATCTCTGGTCTTCCTCTTTAAGGAGTGTTAACACAGTCAAAAAATATTCTTCATGTGAGAACTTATTAGTCGCTCTGTTAGCACTAGACTTACATGGTGTTTTATGAACGTATACTAAGAGACATTCCCTATCCCAAAAAGAACTTACTTTTCCCCTTTGGCATTATCAAGTTAGTACAGAGCTACTTCCTAGCCCTGAATACTGCAAAGGACTAAGAAAACCATATCCAAAAATAAACATAGAAGCAGAAACTACACACCAGGAGCTCTGGTCACGCATATCCTGTTGGGTCTGTGGTTCATTCCGCCTCCAATGTTCTGATTCTTTTAGACAGACAAGGAAAGAACTACATTTATTTGTATGGTGTATCTGTTATAGGAGTTCTCACTACTCTGTCCTCAAGCTTTGTCCTTTCATGCAGTTACGAACTGACTCAAACTAAGACAGGAAGGAAGTGCATCTGCTGGGAGGTGACTTATTTTTAGAAGTCTTTCCTACTACTGTGAATTGCTCAAGCTTCTTGGATAATACACAAACAGCTAGTTTCCTCTTCTGTGGAATAACATACATTCCCTGAGAGATATTTGATCATGATTAAATGAAGAACTGATCTTTACGTGGCGTGCAGTAACGTTGGAGAGAGAAAGAGAGCTGGCCTCTACAAGGTCAGAATGAATACTTTTATTTTTTTTATTTGCATTCAGCAGCATTATACACATTACAGCCTGATAAATAATAGTGTAACTTGTGTCCTGCTGTTGCCCTTCCGATGGTATTCTAGCGGACCTCAGTGTGTCTCACTGCATTGAAATCAGAACTTCTGAAAAAAAAATGCTTTCTCTTGGAAAGTGCTAATGTTACCATTTAATGAGCTGGTCAAAAATGGATCCTCTTTGAAAACACAGGAATTTACAAGTAGATGCAGTGGAAATTTGTTTAAGAAATACAAATATTGAACTGTGTAGTGACTTGAATGTTCCATAGTATTAGATGTGAACTTTTTGAAAGGGTTGGTTAGGTTCTCAAATAATCAGATTAATGGCAATTACTTTGCCCTCAGTGCACATGTACATGATGTCTGTCTGACCTTTCTAATGCAGTCTTCATTTTAGGATGTAGGCACCAATTTTATGTCAGTGGGCCTTCTGTGTGGATCTTAACAACAGGCTGGATGTGTAAAGATTTTCATTCATTTATATTTTCCATTTGATCATTCTTCTTAAACACAGCAAATGAGTTATTTATCTAAACAGTACTGTGTCATTATTAATTGCATTTAAGTGTTTTGGAATTAAATACAGTAGGCTATTTCTGAGAGGTAGGATTTCCCTTTCCTCTTGATAAGTGGAGAACATACATTAAATATTGGTACAGAAGAAGCTTATGTTTTCTCTGTAGTAGAACCTTTCTCAGAATACTGTTTCTTGTGTAAGGAATACTGGGAATCTCGAGTCAGTATCAGCACTTTCTAATTCACCTTTTCACCATTGAGTATTGCATAGCTGATATGTTTCACAGTTAATTTGAGAGGGAGAGTAAACTAGATACAGGAAATGAAATATTGAAATAAAAATGCAAGAAAAAAATCAGATTCAAGACCAGACACTAAATGATTTGGTTGATTTATGGTATACTATTTTGACAGTTTATTGCTCAGTAATCAGTTGCATAAATCATTACTATAATTTATTAATTTCCACTATGCAAGTACAGTACAGATATAAAACCATATAATTAATAAAGTGAAGAATATTTAGCTTAATGGGATGATCGGGTGATTTAAAACAGTGAAGTGTTGAGACCCACATAAGTATAAAAAATATGTGTATGGAATACTCAGCTACATGTAATCACTTAATGGCATCCTCTTCATTAGCTGCTGAAACTCTACCTGGATAGTTCATTTCTCTCCTATGGGTTTATTTAAGAAATGGAAAGGAGATCAGGTTATAGTA